TTTCTGGACGGTTGGGCTTGACATGATTCAACACATGGGTGAAGTCTATGGTGGTCCGGTCATTCAGGTGGGACGAGGTAGATTTACATAATGGTAGTTAACCTGATCCAGCTCGGCTCCACCTGTGCTTAAGCTCCAGTACGAGTGCGGAGGTTCCAATTACCTAAAACGTTAATACAAAACCAAACAGACATGACATCCATTTACTACCTCTATTTTGTCCTACTGCACAGAACAGAAAAGTTATTAATCCTTAACGGTTGGTTGGTTTACGAGGTGCTACTTGAGTCTATGATTACCCGGCACATTGGGCTCATCTCTTACCCAGGCCTCATCTTGAACGGTGCTCCTTACCTTCTATATTACTTAAAAGATCTCTAACATATTGCTCGTGATGGATAGCTATTCAACTTAGTGTTTACACGTAAAATTAATTGCCTTTCAAGAGAAAATCCTAACCATAATTTTAAGAAGATGAGCAATTAAAACCAAACGCGCAGGAGAATTCTTCTAAAAATCTATATCCATAGCCAGACGAGATGCATTTATCCATCTATATCTACCACCTTTTTAACCTTAAAAGTAAACTTGTTCCAGTCCAGCATCAGTGTATCGGGTTCTTGGTACGCTCCAGAATTTAATCGGATGGCTATTCTGCCATGATCAAGGGTGGGCGATGTGTAGGGCTTCGACCCTCGCATCTGATCTTATGGTGGTTGGCTTCATGATGATGATGATGATGATGATGATGATGATGATGATGATGATGATGATGATGATGATGATGATGATGATGATGATGATGATGATGATGATGATGATGATGATGATGATGATGATGATGATGATGATGATGATGATGATGATGATGATGATGATGATGATGATGATGATGATGATGATGATGCTAGTGGATTTTGCAGATAAAGACGATACAGACCGCTAAAGCGATTGGGAATCCTCATCCAAGTGGGGACCATGTTACTCAATATCGGCTCTGCAGACTCTACAGTGAGATCTGGAGTTTCGTAGAGGAAACCACTGATAGGTATTGATATTAAGTTAATTGTTATGGACTTAATAGCATTAAATGGGTAGCGGTAAAAATTGTCTGGTTGTATCTTCTATGATATCTCTCCCATGTTTTTCCTCCATATTAAATATATACGTGCCAAGACAGTAACGCCGCACCTTCCAGGTCTAGCCCCTGCAGTACCATCAACTCCTTAAAGAAACACATACGAAAATAAACTGTGACAGTTGGGCAATTGTCACCCTCCGCAACTGATTTCGTCGCAGAAAGTCTAAAGTTTGTGTTATTCTAGGAATCAAACCATGATCACTAGACAATCTCAAATAAACCTATGATCGGGCATCTTCATTGATGATTTTTTTAATCATTTAATGTGTATTCAGATATAAAGCCATGACACACGACCGGTGCTACGTATTCATATTGGATGACTCTTCTGACGTTAGAGACACTCATACTCTGGATTTCATTCGCAAATACCACTATGAGGTATGCTTGCTTACACAAACAGTCGACCCTCCTCCGTAAGTACCCACCAAAGGGAATTTCGAAACCTTTGGTTATCCAAGCATGCCTTCGTCATCCATGCACACCAGCGCCGCGAGAAATGTGGTTGTGTTTTGCCGGATTTGAACCAGCGATCTACTGTCTCAAGTGGGATATGTGTCCAAGCTATCCAGACTCTACTTGGCAAACTGGCCAAGACGATGTACCACCGCACCATCCAACCATGGCGATGTTTATAGTGTCGCCCGCACTCTCGCAACCGAAGACTTGGCACGCACGAAGCTCAACTTGTAAAAACTCCTTGCCAGAATTCAAAATTCCACGCCCGTCGAGACTATATCCTTCCTCTGCATCATTTTGGCAACTTGTCCTGATCTCTCTCACGTCCACCCCACAGAACTGTCCCCCAGATTTGTGCGCCACGCTTTGTTTCCTCTGCCGGGTATAAATCTCGGCGCGGGCGTGTATTTGGTGTGTGTGTGTTTAATTGTACTACTTGAGTCTATGACTATCTAGCACATTGGGCTCCTCCCTGACCCAGGCCACACCTTGTACAGTGCTCCTATCCTCTTTTGTTACTTGAAAGATCATTGATATATTCCCCTTGATGAATAGCCATTCAACTCAGTATTTACCCGTGGAATTCAGCCACCTTTACCACGGAACCTTCTACCCAAAAAAAAAAAAAATGGTAGCAATGGAAACTGCGTGCGCGGGAAAAAGTCTCAAAAAACCTGAAGCCCCAGCCAGGCGAGACCTAGACACCGGGACCACATGAGGTGCGCATATTCATCTATATCTCCCTTCTTTGTAACAGTCGAGGTCGACTTGATCCAATCCACCATCTCCGTATCGGGTGCTGGGTACGCTCCGGAAACTCATCGGATGGCTTTTCCTCCATGATCAATGGTGGGTGACGAGTAGGGCTCCAACCCTACCATCTGATCTGATCGTGGTTAGCTTCATGATAATGGTGATAGGGGAATGTGTTGAGAGATGAAGACGATACAGACCGCGAAAGCGATTGGGAATCCTCTTCGAAGTGAGGACTTTGTTACTCAATCTCGGCTCTGCAGACTCTACAGTGAGAGCTGGAGGTTCGTAGGGGACACCACTGACAGGTGTTGAGAATAGTCCCCCCGGCGTGTATTTGGTGACCAGCCGAGGCCAGAGAAAGTCTGCGAGAGGTGTGATCATTGGAATAAGGATGTACTAGGTCGCACTTGTAGACTTGATGAGGCCTAGGTAGGAATCAGACTCTCTGGGAGTGAAAAATTGACGTGGTGGAGTAATTTGGATCATTGCCTCGTGTGCCAACTTGTTCGGTTTTGCGAAATTTGACTGAACTTGGCTCGGGCAGAATATTTCACCCCCAGGTTCGTAGAGGACACCGCGTACAGGATTTCAGTCTTGCCCTCTCTCATTGATGATTATTGCACACAAAATACGGAGCACGAATACTACGTGCCGACCCTGAATACCAACTAGCATAAATCTGATATTTTCATCTACAAAATTCAACCAATAAATTAAGAAACCGATTAGTTAGATCCTCATGTAGCTTTTCATCGTCCAAGACTCAGTAGAGACTTAAGTTTAAATCAATCAAATCTACAGGCCAGAAATTCAATATATAAATTTGACCTCGCCCCCTATTCCTGGTTGAGACACCTGTCTGAGGTGATATTTTAATACCGTCTAAGAAAAAGGTCTCACTTGCAATTTAAATTTGCGTTCCTGCCAATAAATATTGCTGATGATTAAGTGGGTATCTTAGTGATTAGTAATTGGAAATTTGAAGATTACTATGACGCATGCCTACGTTAGGGTGAACTCCGAACTTCAGTTTGTGAATAATAAATATAACTACTACTATTACTGTTACTGTTGCTGGCGTATTCAACGAAACATCTGCTTCCATGATACTACCAGATTCCTATCTTTATCACTCACAAATCGCGCCTAATTGTGCTAGTAAGCGTAGTGTAGTTATGGCGCCTGCCATGATTTTCATCGCAGCTAGAGAGCGTGGAATATTTCTTACCAAGGCTTCAGTCCCGCGCCCTTCCGAGTACAATACCAAGATGAACCTGTCTACAGACTTCAATGTCCAGAGAACCTCCTTTCAATATTTAAGGTGAAGATATATCATTAATTACAATATTCTTTATTCGTTGGCAAATTGGCTATGGTCAGAGTGAAGGTCGCGTCACGCAGACTCTGCTCTGTCCTTGCAAACTGATCAGCGGGAAGGTTGGAGTGGGCCCATGGGATCCCCAACCATTTTGCTCCCGGAGATCAGTTGGGTATAATGAATGGATACCCGTTATTGTGTGTGCATTTAAGGTTCAAACCTCCTCAAGCCTTTTTCTCGGTTATCGGTGTTATACATATGGAGAGCACTACGGTGACAACATTGGTAGAAAGTCATTCTGATCGATTCAGTAGCTCTCGGACTTAGCGCACCAAAAATGAGTGATTCCTTACCCACATAAATTTAGTCATGTTCATTAAGGCCACAATGTATGGTGCCAGAGAACGTTGTCGTGAAGTAATAAATCATACCTCTAAAAATTTTACTCAATACAGGTAGCATCCTACTAATATGTTCTTCGGCTAAAGTGTTGTGTGTTCTGTCCTACATACCTAATTATTTCAATATCTTTGCAAAACGACCTCCTGATACCATGTGCCACCGCAAGAACTTAAGCGTGTGACTGAGCTGACCAGTTCTAAGATTTGCTACGTTGAACTCTCAAGTGTGCACTTGCCTGTCATGAATCTGTCAATACCTCACACGTGACTATTTGTACGTAGGGCTTCCACGATCTTCTCTGCAGTTCGTCGAGCTCTGATTGACAGCATAAGCTAGCGGAAATTTTAGGCACCTGGTCTGGAGCTCTAAACTCATATGTCAGTCTTTATATAGTGCTTTTGCTAGCATTTTGCCTCGCAAGTTGAATTAAATTTGATTCATAGGCTACATTTGTCAGTTTTGATTGACTGAGAGCTTGATGACTGTCATCAAATGTGGGTGATTGAATTTGTGACTCATTACGAAATATAAATGAAATATGTAGATAACTGCTTGTCATCAGTCCTGGAGTCACTGGAGATTAAACTCGTCCTATAAACTCCCGTGACCGATTGACAGGTATGTACGAACGCTAGCCCTTCTTGACTTGGCATCGCCGTCTCGCTTAAACGAAGGGTCGCAATTGCCCATTGCAAATTCCCAGATATATTCCGTCTCGCGCGCAGTGTCCCTTTAAACCTTCGGATATCACTTCAACGAGATTTGAATAACGCAACGAGCAACAACTCCGCATACTTCTAATCCATCCATCTAGGGCACTAAGCCACCCTTTTGACAACCCCCCACTTTCCAAGTGTCAGCAAAGCCAGTTAAAGTCGAGAAATTCTCCCCAGTCTCCAGCTCGACAGTTCAGTCTTCACCAATATGTCTTCTTACTTAGAACAAGCTGCTGATTCTGTAAACGATGTTGCCGCTATCGATCAAGCTCTACCCGATAACCAGGCGAGTACTGATAACGCCCCGGGAGGAGCTCAACTAGACCCTGTTGCAACAAGTGCTGTAGAAGGACGCCGTCTTTATATCGGTAATCTCGCCTATGCGACGACTGAGGGGGAGTTACAAGAATTATTCAAAGGATATTTGATGTAAGCAATCTTATCCTGCTCGCACACTCACATGATCAAACTCAATTGTTCAGTTGAGAGCTCAGCTTGGTATAAGCTATTTTCCCACGTTCGAATATTAATATAGCTGCTAAAGAATCAAAATTTAGTGAATCTACGTCAATTCCCAAAAACCCGCGCACCGATCGTCCAGTTGGCTACGCTTTTGTTGATCTTTCAACTCAGGCTGAGGCAGAACGCGCCATTACCGAGTTGTCTGGCAAGGAAATACTCGATCGCAAGGTTTCAGTACAGCTAGCACGTAAGCCGGACACGAATGGAGAGAAAGCCGGAGCAAATGGTGTCGAGGTCGTGTCTGGAGGCGAGGGTGAAGGTGGGCGTCGTAGACCATCTGGCCGAGGTCGTGGCCGAGGTCGAGGTCGTGCATCTCGAGGTACCCGGGAAACCCACACAGTAAGTTTTTCGTTTTGGTAGAAACATATTCCTATCTAATTACAGGCCCAGGAAAAGGAAGTAGAAAAGCCTGCGGATGATAATCCTTCCACAAGTGAAGTTACGGAACAACAGACCGCAACTTCAGGAGAGGTAGAAGTGCAGGTTGAGGCCGATTCCAAGGAACCAAAGGAAAAACCTACTCGCACTCCGCGCCCGCGCCGTTCCCGTGGACCTCCTGCCGATGGTATTCCATCGAAAACTAAGATCATGGTTGCTAATCTCCCTTATGATCTGTCCGAAGAGAAAGTAAGGGTTCCCACTTCCATACGCTTATTTACACACATAACATATAACTGACACTAAATGCAGCTCAAAGAGCTTTTCGTAGATTTTGAGCCTATAACTGCAAAGATTGCGCTTAGACCTATCCCTCGTTTTATGGTCAAGAAGCTGCAGGCTCGAAATGAACCTCGGAAAGGCCGTGGCTTTGGATTCATATCTCTAGCCTCTGAAGAGCTCCAGATAAGGGCCGTTGCTGAGATGAATGGAAAAGAAATAGAAGGCCGTGAAATAGCTGTCAAAGTCGCCATTGATAGCCCAGATAAAATCGCAGATGACGCTGAAAACCAAGTCACACAGAATTCAGATGAAGGAGTTGAAGGTAATGCTGAGGGTAAACTTCAAGGCGCTGAGGAGAGTCACGCTGGGGCTGGTGTTGAGGGCCAAGGTGGCGTTGTCGAAAACGTAGCCTGAGTGACTGAATATATGAACTTGTAAGATGTGGAGTAGAGTAGAGCTTTACGACCATGCTTCACCTGAGTGAGGCTCGATGCATAGCTCAGATGTATGGGGAAGCTGGGATGACTTCTACGGGTTATCTATTATTGGACCGATCATTTTATAACGATTTTCTTTTGTGTGCAAATCTATCTTTTAAGCCGTCAGAGATATTGCCAATATTCAAATTTGCATTTATCCAAATTTTCTCAGCGTCGAGGAGCATTACTCGTAGGCGCTAACAGCTACTTCTCACAAACTACTAGTGCCTTTGTTTCTTGTGCTGACAACTTGTAATTCATGGCTGTAAGTATTGCAAAGGAGTGAGGATTTTAACGATGGAGAGGAGTGAAACATCCGTTTGAAGTGTTCATGATGTGTTCCACATGGTTGACACGGTTTGACACTCACAATAAATTTTTGATCCATACTGAACGTAATCTGTATCGGGAGAAAACCCAGCCTTATTTCTGACTCACTGGGGTCTCTTTTCAGGGATACCCTGTCCTGTCGATACAATACAGGTATCACATGACATTAACCGTGTAAGCTGGCAAATACTGCGCTACCCTCTTATCTAAGGGACATACCAGTATTTCATAGGATTTCAGCTGAGCAACTAAAAACTACAATTTTTGCATGAAAACAAAACCTTTATCGGAGATTTGAGATAACCATGGCTTCAAACGCCATGTGGGAGGTAGACCCAGAAACTCGTTCAAAGGTCCTTCCAAACTTATAATCATGTTTTATTCATGTGCTAACCTTAGCTACAGTTGCTTGCTATACAAAAAACAAATTCAAATGACAGGTGTTGTGATTGCAACGCCCCATCTCCGCAATGGGCATCTCCGAAGTTTGGTATTTTTATATGCTTGAGCTGTGCTGGTATACATAGGGGACTAGGTGTTCATGTTAGCTTCGTGCGGAGCATAACAATGGATGCTTTCAAGGCAGGCGAAATTGAACGGATGCGACTCGGAGGGAACAAGCCATGGAGAGACTTTTTTGAAGAAGCTGAAAGTAATAAAATAATAAGCATGACGTGAGTCTTTCCTAGTCCTTCAAATTCACGGATATACCTTGGTGGTTAGCGAGCTCTGAGAGAATCAGCATTTAAATCATCACGACAAATATGCTGACGGCTATCACGATCCAGGTGGGACAAGGCTACTATCTCTGAGCGATATGCAGAGGAGGTCGGTGAAGAGTGGAAGGAACGTCTCACCGCGAAAGTAGAAGGAAAGGAATATGTTCGAGCCGAAAAACCTCACTCGCATCGAGCTCATGTAATTGATGTGGCTAACAGCATCCAAGCACCCCTTGGCTCTGCCGGTGGACCCGGCTCTCGCGCCAAAGTGGACGAAAAATACTTCGCGAGTTTAGGTGCAGCCAATGCCTATCGATCCTCTGATTTACCCCCATCACAAGGAGGAAAATACTCTGGTTTTGGATCTCAACCACTCGAGTCTCCACGTGAAGTAGCTAAATTACCTGGATTGGATGATCTACAAAAAGACCCCGTTGCAGCATTAACTAAGAGCTTTGGTTGGTTTACCACTACAGTGGGTAAGACAGCAAAGACTGTCCATGAAGATTATATTCAGCCTACTGCCAAATCGGTACTTTCCCTCTAAATTTGGTTGTCCCAGAATTAAAACTCTTATAGCTTGCAGATTCTGACATGGCAGTGCAAGCCCGTTTTGCAGCTAACCAAGTCGCCCGAAGCGCCCAGTCAGGTGCCAAAAATGCTGCCGACAATTTCAATCGTTTTGTTGAAGGCGGTAATGGCAAGACCAGCATAGATGGCTACCAGAAAATGCCTCTAGACAGCAGTAAAACAGAAAATTGGGATAGCTTTTCCAACGCAAGTGCTCAGCAAAACAGAAGTACCAGCTCAGTTGGCACAAGTGCCATTAAAAAATCGAGCGGGGGAAGTCGCTCAGGTCTAATGACCAAAAATGATGAGGATGTGTGGGAGAAGTGGTGAGAATTGTGATGCACATACAATTTATGAAGCTTTATTTGAACACTAAAGGAGTTTTCCCTGTACTCAATATAACGAGTGAATTTTATGTTCTAGGGTCAGTATTATTCTGCTTATTGAATGACACGCTGTGGAGCTCGTTGACTTTTGCAGGAAGAGATAATACAAAAAGTCTGATCCAAGGTCATCTGCACTAAAGAGGGGGCGTGGACCAACAGGGAAAATAGAAGCGTTAATGTGTTCCATGCCTCCGCGGAGCTACTGCTGGTTAGATTTGAACCCATTCAATGGCTTTCGATATCAGCAAAGGAGAGTCATTGGTTATTTGTGATGGAAAATTGATAGAGGTTTAATGCTACATGATGCGTCATTCAGCTTGCCTCTATACTGGATGGGGATGATAAAATAAATTCCGGAATGGCATACGTTATCAGACATAACAATATAAACCGAGCGGGTATTTTTTTCCATTAGACTAATAATTGCACGTCAAGTTTCGTGGCTCCGTGCGCGATAACACATGTAATAAGTGGCTGTATGACCAAAGAGATCAAGTACCAGCCCATTTATTGTTTATAAATAATCGATGGTTCATTAATTAAAATAATATGATTGGATGAGTGTTCATAAAATACATTGAGATCATCTATAGACGGTAAAAATTTCGCCATGTTTTGGTTGGTGTTATTACAAAGTAAAATATTTAATCATGATAATAATCATAATCTGGAAAATACAGAAAGATTATCCTCCGTATTCCATTACTATCGGATTTTTTGGTTAACCTGCAATAAGAACCCATAATCTATGAAATGTTAGCAAGTCTTGGCTATTTGGATAGAGAGATACGTGCAGGAAGAATATCATTAGTACTCCCATCATTTTGGCTACCAGCCAGCGGTTGCCGGATACTCGCGACCAGTATTTTAAAAGTTCTCTCTGAGCTCCCTCTACATTGTCTACAATATCTTCTGTATTTGCGTCAATACGTTGAATCATCTCACTCTGCTCGGATACCATCGTTGCAAGTTGACCAAAGATACCACCAAGCTCGCTAATTGTACGTTCTATCGCCTCAATTGCCTCACCTCTCTGCTGAATGTAAGAATTTTGAGGTTGTGCTTCTTCCATCATCAAGAGCTGTTGATCCCCAACCGGACTTAGTGATAATAGATCTTGGCCTGCTCCTATTGAGCCCCTTTTCGGGGCACTATACAAAGGAGAGGCGGACTGTGATATGGTGGGAGGAATGTGAGCTGATACCGAGGACACAAAATTTTCAGTGCGGGCTCGCGAGGCTTGTATATTTTTAGTTCGAACTTCAAGGACGTCCTTAAAGTTTACAGAAACATCCGTTAGCTTTCCCTGTAATAGGAACACAACATTTTTGTTATGTTCCCCTTCCTGATCTGCCTTTGTATGTTTGGATCTGGAGAGGCTCTGGAGCATTGAAATTTGTTGATTTAATGCGGAAAGGTCTTGTTTAATGATCGATGTCAGCTCATTAATCTCTACTGGTCGGTCGTCAAAAAGCGTCTTTCTCTTTGCCACTTTTCTATATTAGTCTGATAACAAGTATTATTGTAGTTAGGGGCCGTACACTGCGCCAGCTTTTCTAATTTTCCCATGGTAGATGCAATTCCTCTTCCAATTTCTGCAGCTTTCCTTGCAAACTCTGATCTGCGAGGTTTCGAGTCACCATTTTCGTTAGCATTTGCTGCGACCTTCTCAGATTCCGTAAGAAGGGACTGTCTCTGTGTGCTGGATTTTGATGTTGCTTGCCGCTTTTGTACTTGTGTTAGGACCGATCTGAATTCGTTTGTTCTGTCCTGAATAGATGAGACTGCCATTTTTTTGTTCAAGAAATTTATTCCAAATGAAATATTAGCCAAAGGAGATATGCTGCTCCTTCACGCCTCACCCGGCGCATTAGGCGCAAATAACTGGTCAGCTTAGGGAATTCTTGCTAGATCGAGTCCAATGCCAGGCAAAAAGCGAATTTAAATTGCGTCTGATTAATTTTGATGGGTAATAGGGCTGGTGGACGTGCGGAATAGGTGATGAGAATCTGGGAAATTACCGGCCGTTATCAATGATGTCTATTGTGGTCTGGTGGGTACGGAAGACTGCAACCCTTGAAACAATAATACAGACAATATTAATGCCTCAGGCGTTTACAGATTGAATCGAGCACACACCGAATCTAACATCCAGCGTGGTCCAGCAGATGCGTTTGTTTCAGTCCCGTGTGGCATGAAAGGTTCCACTCTAAATATATCATGTAATGCTACGTAATGGTACAATCGACTTCTGGCAGTCACGCTACTACTTGTACAATTCTTTTCTCCTCAATCTTTTAAAGCTCCTCTCCTGGTGCCAAATTTACACATGTTGATGGCACCAGATATCTGGAGAGTGTACTCTATGAATAGAGAAAATAGGTCGGATTTATCACGAACTATTCCCGTTGATAATTCGATCACGTACACTAATCTAATAGAGATACCAAAATCACTTTCATAGGTTGACAATTTTGTAGGATTGCTCCAACAGCAGGGGGCCAATACCTAATCGTGTTAGTGTCGCTAAACTTGTGCAGTGGAGGGCCAGACTCAACAAAAACTCGTCGACGACTACTCCAATGTTCGAAGTTGTCACGATGGAACCGATCTTTTTGAAACGTCAACGAAATTGTAGATTTTTTAATTCTCGTATCAGACGCCAGAGAGCGGACAATAGTATGATTTACTGGGTCCACAGACGAGAGAAATATTTTTATCAGAATTTACCAATATTCCAGTGATTGAGGTAACTGAATGAGAGGGGTCGACAGTTTCCTTTGGATATTTAGAAATTCCTACTGATAAACTATCAGATGATGGAAGATCAAGCGGTATTGGAAGCTCGCCGATCGTTTCTTTCATGCAAGAAACTAGTTAAAAGTACAACAAGCAAATACTGCGACTGTCACCTATGAAATTGCATCATTTGGGTACCCATCACCAAGAACAAGGCCACAAAAAATTGAAGATTTCCGATAGTCAATGTAAACTAGACGTAGAGAACAAATCTAGGGGTGTGACAGGTTCTCACAGACCAACCTGTATGTAACCTTTCAGTTTGAAATAGATTCCAATTGTATATCTTTGTGATTGGTGCCAATTAACTCACCGTGTAGGTAGGTGATCAGGCGATCAAATCAGAGGCATCTCTTTTGGACATCACTACTGCAAAAAGTTTTCATGAGTATAATCACCTACCCATATCTAGGTTAAAGGATCAGTATTTAAATGGCTCTATTTCTGCCTCTTTTCGATCGGTAGAAACATCAACTACCCTGTTAACAGCCAGGAATAGTGTGCTTCAGCCTTTATTTGACAACTTCTCCACATGTAAAAATGCAGGTCTGCAACGCCATGACTCAACTCAGTCGGCCATTTATTTAAGCGAGTCTGTTCCCGCCAAGACTTTTAAGCGCTGTTCTGGGCACCAGAAACTCTAAATGAAGGAACAATAGTCCCCGGCCTAAATCAGTTAGGGGTTACTGGAACTCCTTGTTCGCAAGGACACAGCCCTTAAACAAACAACCAATCTATTTTCGATCGGCAGAAGACTCCAGTAGTCGATGAACACGAGGCAATACCAATAATAAAATAAAATATAGAACGTCACTAGAGTGTCTATTCCAATGCCTTAATGTGGAACAAGAGGCAAGATCTAAAATGATACGGGAATTAGAGTATAGAGACACCCAACCCATCAGCGTTCCTCCCTTGCTAGATCAGCGTCTACATTTTACAGAGAATCAAAGTGCCTCAGACCTTTTAAAATCATCACAAGTAACTGAACAGGAAAGTCACAATCTAGAAAGTATAAATATGGCGACAAGTGATAATACAAAACCTACAATACCAGCGAAAGACTCACTCGAACAAGATAAATCTATTCAATCTAAAAATCGCTACCAAAATAATAAATCCGAGGGTGATAGTGCACAAGAAATTGCACAAGTTACGCCTAATACACCAAATGTGTCAGAATACACTGTCACTGAATCTAAGGACGGAAACGAAATCTTACAGGATGAAATTGCTGACCAACTCAAGCATGAGACAGTTGACAAAAAGATTGATAACCAACCCTATCCGGTAGAGCTATCAGTTGAGCGGAACCAAGAAAATCATCTAATTATAAACACAGATGAACAGATTAATTTCACTGAGGATTTAGATGGTTCCTACCATGAAATATGCGAAAATAATATTGAAATAAAATCAGTAAAAAGTGAAGAATCACAATCGAAGTCTCTCAATGTTGCCCCACTTGTATCACGGCGGCAAGAAAATGAGTCTTCGAAGGCACAAAATGACTCTGTCATACATCGCATATCCAAGACCTCCCTTGCGGGTGAAAAGTCTTCTATAAATGAAAATATAGGCCAAATAAATAATCACTCGACAATAACTTCCGTTAGCTTAGAAAATGTTGTTACAGATCCCAAATTATCTTCATCTGAGACAGCTAACGATACTCTGGCTTCTAGGACTAGGAATCTATCTATTACTGAAAATATTACCTTAGGTACCTCCGATGAACACTCCAAATTTAACATCAAGTCTCTTACTTATTATGTCGTAGGCATAAGGACAACGGAGGATGGTAAATATCCCGAGAGTTTGAATTCCTCGAAGATAACTACAGATTATCCACTTCGTTCGGCTTCAATATCAACAGATCAAGCAGAGAATCCTACAGTCCCTCCGTGGCGCGAGAGTAACTCGCAGCAAAATTGTGATAGTCGAAACTTTAAAAATTTAGACGCTCCATCTAGGTCTCCCAATGATGCTGGAAATAACTTGCCGACATTCAAGGAAATATTAGCATTAAACAATGCAAAAGATAGGATAAAAACCTTTAATCATAACCGAAAAGCTTATGCTTCAATAGACTCAGGCTTGGAGGAATGGGCCCAACAAGTTAAAAAAATGTATCCCGAATACGAAGACGTTACGGCAAGCTTTGACGGTCCTGAACCGAGAATATCGGGTGGATTTGGGTCAACTCGAGCTATATTTGCAAAAGTAACAGGTTCTCAACCATTCCTTCCGTCAGGTTACCATCAGCGTCAGCAAAGTGGTCTTCAACCAACGCCTACAACTCCCAACTTCCGGCACAGCATGATGCCTGCTATGCAGAGCACGCCTCAGGTCTCTGTGTCAACAAATAGGTTGAAGAGCCACCAAGTGCAGACAAAGGGAAAAGAGCTTCTACACACTGCTGGTGTTTTCGGAGGCAAAGCTGGTAGAGTGGGAAAAGACTTTCTTGCTAAGGGTAAGAACCGGCTTCGCTCTGCTGGAGCTGGAGATCACAAGACAGAGTAGGGTGCCATTGTGTAGTAAACTACGCTCTGAGAGGAAGATTTTAATTTCTTGGCGTTGTCTATTCGCCCATGAGAGTATATCTGCTCTATGGTCTAACTTTTTCATCCAAAGTTAGGTTTCAGATATACTTTCTCAGTTATGTCACACTTCTTCCCATCTCTTTTATATGCACATAAGTCTCATTTGTCACAGTTCAAACGGAGTTAATAGAGGTATACAAGCTATGCGACTAGCATTTCCAATTAATAGATACGCATGACCTTAGCACTCAGAAACATTCGTGGCAAACTACTACGGATGCAAAATATCGGTCACACTTTCACAACCGAAATTTATGACCCTCGTCTAATAAGTTGCGAATAGAAGTACTGAGTGCTCAGCCGTTAGTGTGGCGTAGTACGTTACCCCAAGATCAATTTGAGACTGCGCTGAAGATTCGCTCTGTACAGTGAAAGTACTAACATTTGTGATTAGTGTCAGGGGAAGGTCATGAAGTAGATTGACGAGGTCTAATCTGGTGATTGAGATTGTCTACAAAGAAGAAAGGAGACTCCTATTGAGTCCTGTAAAAATATATACATCGTGAATCGCGTATCAGGCGCGGTATATCACGTGACAGTAACTTCCCTCAATTCACTCTATCCCTTGACAATTAGTGCCTTATGCGGGAGGCGTATGCATTCCAGACTTAGGCCAGCTGATACATTAAGTAAAACTAATTGAGATTCGAGGAGGTCTGACCTATTGAATAATATAAAACTGCTTGCTAGGCCTTGACATACATGGAAATGGCCTTATAAGTCTTGAATAGTTCAAAACCGTTGTAACTATTTGGTCAACTCTATTTATCGTAGCCGCAAAGTTATATTTAAATATTTTTGGATATTTCTACCGAAATAATCAAGAGAACCAATCATTTCATGGTTGCACGAAAGTAGTCGATAGTTCAATTTTTGTCACTACTATAGAAAAACTGGAAGCAGAATAGGTGAAGGAAACCCAAGAAGTGTTATCCAAATTTTGAATAAATAAAATTATTTGAATTCAATCTCGGCCTGCGAACAGATATTACTTTTTCATCATACCTTAAGCAGATTATTAATCTCTCTCCTAAAAGGTCACCTTTGAAAAATTAGGGTAAAATCTCATGAAAGTTATGATAGATTTATCGCTGGTTAGAGCTATTCATTTGAAAGTACTTTCTTTACGCAATAGGATGATGCTTCCATTAAATTCTGACGAGAGTGACATGGAGAAGATCGCTAGTGACAAATGGACATCTATTAGATAATCTGGAGCGAACAATTCGGGGTTGAATCAACTCCAGAAAAACTCATTTGAGATTCCAGAAGAAAAGAGACTTTATAAAAATCAGCGGTACCACCCACAAACTTCCAACTCGCACCGCATAGTCTGCGGTGCTGAGTCTCAGTCCAAAATTAGCCACAAGGGATTTTGCTTTAATTATTCATCTTCATTCCCCTTCACCCAAAAATGCATAAAGTTGGGCTAGAATAGTTTACAGCAAACCCAATCTATCCAGGCATTCCTAGCATGTCAGCACAACCTCAAATTAGTCCAAATTAGTCCCAAAGTGCGTGTGTTGTAAGCAGTGAAATGGAGATTAGGAAAGCAGAGGGTAATTTGTAGCGTTACAGACTCGTCTGTAACGCTTAGCTGGCCAGCTTCTCGGAACGCGTAAGATGGGTAGCTATGTATCCAGATAGTGCCGTGATTTCTGTATCAGGAAAGTGTTGGAAATGGAGATACAGAGTATTTTGAAAGAATGGGCACTCCATTTCATGTAGGTTGCCGACATGATATTTTGTGCAGTTAAAAGGTTTGAATGAGTAATAGAGTAGCACTTCTAGTTATCCAATGGATACATGAGCGGCTGTATGGCGTGGGCACAAGGAGGTTGAGAGGTTTTCTGTGCCTAGATGGCGCCACAGTTGTTCATGCTGTGGGTTAGGATATGTATCACTTACAATTGTAATTGAAGCGCACACTTTCCACACTTTTAGCTGAAATCCGAACATGACAATTTTATGGTCAACTACTTTTTTTTTTAATCATTTAATTTGTATACAGCTCTAAAGCCATGACACACGACCGGTGCTATGTATACATATTGGATGACTCTTCTGACGTTAGAGACACTCATACTCTGGATTTCATTCGCAAATACCACTATGAGGTATGCTTGCTTACACAAACAGTCGACCCTCCTCCGTAAGTACCCACCAAAGGGAATTTCGAAACCTTAGGTTATCCAAGCATGCCTTCGTCATCCATGCACACCAGCGCCGCGAGAAATGTGGTTGTGTTTTGCCGGATTTGAACCAGCGATCTACTGTCTCAAGTGGGATATGTGTCCAAGCTATCCAGACTCTACTTGGCAAACTGGCCAAGACGATGTACCACCGCACCATCCAACCATGGCGATGTTTATAGTGTCGCCCGCACTCTCGCAACCGAAGACTTGGCACGCACAAAGCTCAATTTGTAAAAACTGCTTGCCAAATCTCAAAATTCCACGCCCGTGAAGACTGTATCCATCCTTCGCATCATCATGTTAACTTAACCTGAACCTTCCACACCCGTCCAAAATTACTGTCTCCCAGATTTGTGCGCCACGCTTTGCTTCCTCCGTCGGGGATGAATATTGGCGTGAGCGTGTATTCGGTGACCGGCTGAGGCCAGAGAAAGTCGACAAGAGGTGTGGTCATTTGGAGGAGGATATACTAGTTCGTACTTGAAGACGTGGTGAGACTTTGGAAGGATTCGATCCCGCTGGAAGTGAAAGATTGGCAAGGAATTGTACTTTGAATCATTGTCTCGTGGGCCAACTTCTTGATATTGCGAAATTTGACTGAACTTGACTCTCGGTGAATATTTCACTCCCAGGTTCGTATAGGACACCGCGTACAGATGTTCAGTCTTGCCCCCTGATCGACTACTTCGTTCTTAGAATAGTGCGCCCATTTGATTGTGCGATGTTTCCAACAGATTATTATATCTATGCGCTAGACAACTGAACCATTATTCCTGTGCAATAATCAGTGTTCAACTATCCACCAAGGAAGTATCTTCACTACTTATGTCATAATTTTATTGAAACACATCGGGATATTTTTCCATCATTTTTTAATAACGTCTACAGCCGATATAGTTGAATCTCTCAAAAATGCACCTCAACTTAGCAGAGTCACATTCAGAAGATGGTGCAACATGTTTGGTCTTGGGGGAGCACAATATATCCTACGAAGATTATCAGGGCTTACTTTGTCGGGGAACTATTTTCAATACCTGTCAGTGGTGTCCCCTACGAACCTCCAGCTCTCACTGTAGAGTATGCAGAACCGAGATTGAGTAACACCTTATCAACTTTGAGCTGAGTTATCTCCCCCTCTGTCAAAGATACGCTTCCGATAACACCTAAGACGACCAAGACGACGATAATAATGCTAGAAATGAGGAAAGATAATGCGGTACCAAACGTTACAAAGGTAATCAGAGAAACCCTACTCATATCACAACATGTGCAACCCACAAGCAGGCGAACAAAAAGTGCACGAAAGCAAAGTTAAAGACCCTTCCGCCCTCAACTAAAGCAGATTTAGACTCGACAATAATATCGCCCCTTACAACCTTTCATTCCGAATCTACTAGCCAGGAGGGCGTCTGAAATACATGAGTTATTCGATAAACCGACGTCCGTAACGACTTTTGGATGCTAGGCTAAGCTCCTTTATGGCAGCAACTCTTGACCAAGACTTTTCTGACATCCTTTCACGACATTCGGTTTTTCCTACGGCGTGAATCGGGGGAGCAGTAAGGAAGAGGCTAGGAAGGTTAAGAGACGCTCTTAGGTGTACACAAGTATGCTGCGCCAGGCTGGCCGGCTTTTGTTATAGCAGAGCCCCGCACCCAGTGGTTTTTGAGACTTTTACCTACAGCTACACATCCGCAAATGGCCATCGTTTTGTTGGCTGGAGAGGGGAGATAATGACGAGACAAAGGCTCCTCTTTGTGTGTACTCGAATTAAGACATGCGGGGGGTATTACTGCTGGAAAGATGTCGTGAAGGAGGCATAGGAAGAAGTACACCATCCGAGACATAAATACTCCCGGCCTGTTGGCAGATAGGTATTGAAAGGCTATACTGAGCTGGAATGACGTGACGTTAGGATGAAGGTATGGAAGGATGTGAGAGATCCTAGCGCCAATAGATCCCTAATGGTATCTATTGGGAAATACTATGTCATACCAATGAGTGATGATCTAGGTCAATCATATCCCATGGCGCACGTGCACATTATTCTAATGTGAACAGTTTATTGTAATGCAGTTATGTTACTCCCTTACTTACAGAAATAAGATCTAAATGCAATTACATTGTCATAGACTTTATAGGACATGTTGTAATGAAATAACAATTGTTATATTAATAAAGAATTTACAAATTTACAATACACATTTCCTGTCATATATATATATATATATATATATATCATTCATAGTCCACGATTGATCTAGCTCTGTAGGGCCAACACTAATGTCTTCTACTCGTGCCCTAAACGGAGCGATTGATCTGTCTTCCTACCTCTTTCATATCCTAAGGTCACTATCATGAGACCTAGATATTCCTCACCACAACATGTCATGCAGACTTCCTGCCCAACTGGTAACCACTAACAGTCTAGTAAATATATGACCCGTACGTTATTTACCCCGTAATAATATTGCATTTGTGTATGTGTTTATTGTATTACTTGAGTCTATGACTATCTAGCACATTGGGCTCCTCTGTGACCCAGGCCACACCTTGTACAGCGCTCCTATCCTCCTTTGTTAGTTGTAAGATTCTCAGGGATGAGGGTTTGATAGTGTTCCACGGGGTGCGTTGTATAGCCTAGTAAAGATCTAGGTGGTAATTGAAGGTTCTAAATGGGTCAAAGGAATGACAGGTCTTCTCTAGGAAGAGATGAATGGGCAAC